GGGTGGGAAACCAGCCCAGGAAAGCAGCTGAAGATGTTGACAGCTAGATAAAGGGACCGATGTTCAGTAAGCTATAATTCACCTCATATGACCAACTGCTGGGTGGGTACACCAATTTCTGCATTGCCCTTGTGAAGCTATGTCTCCAGTACAGAAGGGGGAACACACGCAAACACATGTGTACACATACAGAATGAAACTCTGAACCACAGGGAAGGTGAATATTTGACTGGGTGGAAGACACATGTACCCAGCAATTTCTTGTACAATAGCCAAAAAGGGACCACACTTCCTATTTAGAGGTATTCACCATATCCCAGGTTACGGAGAATTTTCCCCACACTCATTTATCCCCATTTTACAAGGAGGAAAACTGACCTTCAAACATGCACAGGAAGGCGCACATCTAATAGCACTGAGATAAGAATCTGAGTTTTCTCAGACTCTACGTGGAGTTTAATCTGATTAACATCAGGTAGGGCTAGCTAGGCCATTAGCTCACTAAGCACTGTTGATTAACACCCTAAGGCTGAGATATTCACACAGCAATGAGACTCCCAGGTAGGGCATGAGATACTTTGGTACAGCAGTGTCTAATTTTGTCCAGTGCTCTACAGGTGTCCAGTTGGTAAGGACTTAGGGGAAAAAATCTTTTCTTTCCTACCATACTTTGATATCCTATGCCAAAGAACCTAGCAATGCTGTTCTCCAGGAGCTACTGAATCTGTTTAGGGTCACAAATATTCTGCATAAAGCAAGCAAATGTCCTGTAACATGGATAGCAACTCATGAAATTGCCCACGTGCCTACCAACTATATCAGCACTAATGAAGACTCAATAGTTCACTGTGACTTCTGTCTATTTCCTACCTAGCTATGTCAGAGCTTGAATAGATTCTGGAGAATGCTTTAGAAATAAGGGATAAAAAGAAAACACCATGATCATACACTTTAGTGCCTGGAAGAGCCTAGACTAGAACTCAGGACTTTCATTTCCTAACACAGTTAGCGCTGTTTCCACAATATCATTCAACCCTCAACTGAAATCAATGTAGAGCGGCAAGAATTGTTAAAACATGCAGTAACAAACTCTTTAGTCAAAAACTGACCTCTTTTCCCTTAGATCATCAAATAAAAAATAACAACAGCCAACACAACATTAGCCATCTGGTGGGAATGAATACATATTATACCTATTTTTTGTCAGATCTGCAAAAAATATATTTTTGGGGTGTGCCACAGAATTTTAGTAATTAGTTTATGTGTGCCATGAGATGAAGAAGGTTGAAAACCACCGATGTGGAGGAATGAAGACAGTAATTTTATTTTAAAATATTTACTAGAAAAGAGCTTCCATAGCCGCCATCATTTAATCCCTTGGGTATCATCCAATCTTACTAGAAGCATAAATCTACACATGAATGCCCATTCATGAGAATTGGCAGGTCTACCCTTGGAGCCAATATTCCCATAATTCATGCAACCGCAGCTTACCCCCATTTCCTTTTACTGGCGATATCTTAATAGCTGGCCCCTGGGTTCCATGGTACTTCCCTTTAGAAATCTGAAGATCATTAGTCTATTATTAAAACAAACAAACACTTTTATAATAATCAAATTCTTTTTCTGAATGCAATCTGAGGCAACATGGCATGACTACTTTGTCATAGAATAAACATTGGTATAGTAGACAGAATATCCGAGTTCTAAGTTATGATGTAGGCTCTGCCATTAATGATCCTGATTTAGTATTACGGTCCTTAGTCCAGATTTATGTTATCTGATACAGTAGCAACTAGGACATGTGACTACTAAACACCTAAAATGTGACTAGTGTGAACTGAAATGTGCTTTAAGCATGGAATGCATACCAGATTTCAAAGACTTAGTAATATAAGTCTATAAATTATATAAAATTGATAAGTTTATACTCATAACATATGATGTTATATATCCTATGAAAGTATTTTGAACATATTGGATTAAGTCAAATATACTAAAATTAATTTCACTTCTACCTTCCTTTACTTTTCATAGTGTGGCTGGTAGAAAATTTTTAATTATATACATGCCTTACATTTGTGTCTTACAATATATTCTTTTTGAGCCTGGCTGGTGTGGGTCAGTGTATTGAGTGCTGGCCTGCAAACCGAACAGTTGCCTGTTCAATTCCCAGTCTGGGCAAATGCCTGGGTTGGGGGGCCAGGTCTCTGGTTGGGGGGAACATGAGAAGCAACCACATACTGATGTTTCTCTCCCTCTCTCTCTCTCTTCCCCTCTCTCTAAAAGTAAACAAACAGCCCTGGCTGGTGTAGTTCAATGGAATGAGTGCTGGCCAGCAAATCAAAGGGCTGCAGGTTTGATTCCCAGTCAGGGCACGTGCCTGGGTTGTGAGCCAGGTCCCCAGCTGGGGGTGTGCAAGAAGCAACCACACATTGGTGTTTCTCTCCCTCTCTTTATCCCTCCCTTCCCCTCTCTCTGAAAATAAATAAAATCTTTTTTAAAAGATAAATAAAATCTTTTAAAAACCCACAATATATTCCAATTGGGCTGTGCTTGTTAGAGCAATGGTTCTCAATAGCAAAGATTCTTTGGTTTTTAAGCTGATTAAGTGATTAATTTCATCGTGCAGCTGACAACCAATAGGCTAGACTCTATATCATGCATGCCTGGGCCAGCCAGTGGTCTTCTTAAGCGTCAGCATCAGCCCACCCAAGTGGCTGCTGCAGCTGTGTACTCAGAGGAACAGGCTGTGTGCTTGGAGGAACACGCCCCCTGGCCTTGGCCGTAAGAACATCAATGCCAGCTCATTTTCATTCTAAAGCCTGCTCTGTCATTTGCCTCCCCAAACCACTCTACCTTGCTCAATCATTTTGTCCCATCCCTTGATTTACTGCTTATTATAAAAATGACATTTCACTGAAAGTGAAATACATTTGGATTTGGGTGACACTGTCACTGGGTGCAGTTTAATCCTTCTTTTAAAGAGAGGGGACTGTCAGTCCAAGACACTCAAGCTGTCCGTGTAGAAGAACTCATACTAGTTCCAAAGCTCCACGGTTATTGATGTGCTCTTTCTGACTACCTCTGGGACTAATTCATCAACGAGCAAAGCTGAGCTGGGAAGCAGATGGCATTTGGAGACTCTGATGAAAGATGCCACATACAGAGAGGAAAAAAGGACTGGATAGTTCATTAGGAGAGTATCAGGACAGAGGGGTTAAGAGGTCATTTTGTCCACCTCTCTTTGCTTCCTCACCTAAATCGTTGCAATCAGTTAACAGCGCTTCCTGGGTTTGCACCCTTTGAGGAAGGAACCCTCTTTCAGCCAATATGGCCAGCCTTGATTATAGGCCTTTTTGGATCTAATAAGGTGGTGTTGGTGGTGATAACAATGAGGGTAATGATGATAATAAAGCAAATTAGCATTTGGCAAAGTCTCACTATGTACCAAGCACTATACTAGACACTTGACTCACATATGTGACTTCATTTATTGCAGGGGTGTCCAACCTGCGGCCCATGGCCACATCCGGCCCAGGATGGCTGTGAATGCGGCCCAACACAAAATTGTAAGTGTACTGAAAACCTTTTTTTTTTTTTGCTCATCAGTCTTTGTTAGTGTTTGTGTATTTAATGTGTGGCCCAAGACAACTCTTCTTCTTCTAGGGTGGCCCAGAGGCGCCCAAAGGTTGGATGCCCCTCACTGGAAAAAGTCTGCTATTTCAATGGCTCCAATGAGGAAATTAAGGCTCAGGCAAGTGAAAAATCTCACTGAAAGCCATAGAGGCAGGAGGGAATAATACGGAGACTGCATTGCAGCTGTCTAATTCCAAATGCCCTGCTCCCTCCTTCATGTCATACTGCCATCATTCTCATCGAGGCCCTTCATCTTCCAAGGGCCAAAGGCCAAAGCCAAGGTGATCTCTGATTTGGGTGAAGACTTCAGCCTTATATTAGAGCAGACACTAACAAAAGCTAATGGGCTGTGGTGTACTTGGACTGCCACAAGGTGGTTTTTTTTTTTTAATGTGCATTATCTCATGAACTGTGACATCTCCTGGAATGAAAGAATTGCCAAAATCATTCTGCGGATAGGGAAAATCAGAGTTCACAATTGCCAAAGAGCTGATTCTAGTTCTTAATTCTAAGGATGGCCAAAAGCTGGGACATCAGGCCAACATTAGTAAAATGCTCTTCCTTCATAGAATTTTACTAATTGGTGACCCAGAGAAAGCAGAAACTGCTAAGAAGGCCCCTCCCAATAGCCCCTTCTGTGAAAGGCCAGGTTCTTCACAGTACAAGGCAAAATGGGCCAAGGCTTCGTAAGCCCTATTAGGCCGGTTGCTTCCTACCCACAGTACATCTTAGATCCCAGCCACTTGAGTCTCTTGCAAAAAGTATAATTTCCAATGAGTAAACTGTAGCCCATGAGAGGGTACGGAGCCCACAGTCTTACATTAATGGCTGGAGACAATCCTGAGACAACACACAGGGGTGTTCGCCCTTCCCTAAAGGAGAGAAAGGAAGATCAGAGGAGTGAGGACGGGAGAGACCTAGAAAAAGAAAGAATAAAAATGAGGAGGCAAGGACAACAAAGAAAGCAGAAAATAAAAGAGATAAGAAAGGTAACATCCACAGCAATGTAGAGTTAAAAGGGTCTTCGAAAACCACCAAGGACAAAAGGGAAATGATTTGTATAAAGTCACAGCAGGTAGGAAGCCGGAGGCATGAGGTAGGGATGGATTGTTACGATAAATAAGACAGAAAGGAAAAGTCTCAAAATTAGGAGGGGAAAAAATTAAAGGAAGTCCAGGACTTGGGTAGGAGACCCAAAATATGGAGTAAAATGGGAGAGGAGCCACCAGGAGACAAATGAGAAGGAGGACAGGGGCTGGTGAAGGGAAAGCCAAGGGGCAGGCAGCCAAGGAGACAGGGGAGGAGAGTGAAGGGGCAGGCAGCCAAGGAGACAGGGGAGGAGAGTGAAGGCTGACACTCACCCTCACAAAGCTGGCAGGAAACCATCCCTCCTCATCGTCGATCTGGCCCCACCACCAATCCTTGTTGGAAGCATCCAAGACTTTGATGACGTCGCCAGCCTTAAATGCCAACTCCCGGTTGGCCATGGTGACGTGATCCCATACTGCCTCAGCACTAACGATGGAATCTCCAGTGATCAGCTTAGGAGACAAAATGAGAATGTTTTCAGTCCACACAGTGGGCTAGCTTACTTGCCCCTTCCCCCACCCACAGACCTCCACTACTTTATGGAAAAAGTCAACATACTAGTGGGGAAGGATGGGGGTGAGAGAGATGCCACAGAAAGCGCAATAGCCACTGGACCACAAGGCAAACGATACAGTCAATTCTACATTAGCCAGCGAGTGTGATGACCCAGAATGTGAATATGAACTACATAGGACTCATGCTTTAGGCCTATTCATCACCACCTCCCCCATCGAAGACAAAAAGCACCAGTCCATCTCTCGGTGTGTCAAGGCAGCTGAAGGTCTGGAATGGGTAGAGAAGCTGAAACCAATAGCTGAAATGAGGCTTGAGCGTATTTGCTCTAAATTCTCTGCCCTTTCCTCCTCTTCATTGCCACTGACCAATTCAGAGTTGGTGGTACACTTTTAACACCACTGTACCCCGCCCCCAGGGGTTATAGACCATGGCATTCCTCACACACAATGGACCCCAGTCCTGCAGCCTCCTGTTCTCACCCACACATGATGCCATCCAGAGAGGTCATGGGTAGGAAAGAATATGACTTTCTGTGATGCCTGGCTCCCAAGAAACTCAGCCTTGGCACAGATTCACTCAGTGATTTGTACTGCCACCCCATGCGATACATAGGGAGGTGTGGGTTGACTTCTGCATTTGATACATGGCAAAGTTGAGCCACAGTGAAGTTAAGGGGTGAGCTCAGGGTCACCAGGTAAGGCTGTGGTTCTGCTTAGGCCCTAACCCTGGTCATTGAACTTTGTGGCCACCAGGACTGGGCTCCACACAGCAGTAGGCAGACATCGATCTCTCTGCCACGTGCACACACACACACACACACACACACACATAAACACGTTCATGTTCACAACACTCTCTAAGCACAGTGATGATGATGGCATAGGGAAATAGTCTGCCTCTTTCTGGCTACCATCCTGACCACTGTATTATTTGTTCTCTCTTTTCCCCAACTGGTTCCTGCCAATATGGGCCATGAGTCTTCCTGGCATTTGCAGAAACAGATGCCAAAATAGAGAACATACGGCCTGTCAGGCAAAGGATTCAAGTACTTTCTCCCCAGTATTGAATTGCAGAAGTCAGCTTCTCCATCAGTGTGCTTTGAGGAAGGGCTGATTCCCCGAGGCAACATGGCTGCACAAGACCCACGACAAAACAAGTGACAGACAACAGAGACAGGATATGGAACATTACGTCCTCTCACACAGGTCTCCCTTCCAACGTACCAGCCAGGGGATAACTGTAACATCATAAAGTTCACTCATAACACATCACACATCAGTCAGGCCCTGCCTGGCGCATCCTTTACCGCTCGGGGTTCTAGCCATTGTGCCTTCCAGAGAAGGTAAGGCCTAGGGGGAGCTCCTAGGCATGGATGTAAAAGAGATTTCTGGTAGGACCATTTATAACACCACCTTCCAAGTACCTCATGCTTTACTGTTTACCAAGTGCTTTCCCATCTCCTGCATCTCTTGATCCGAACTGAATGAGCTGGGCCTCACTGTTACCCATACTTACAGATGAGGAAAGAGGTTCACAAAGGTGGTCTTGGTCCTTTAACCAATCACCCAAGCAATACATTATGGAGACTCATAACCTATCACACTGGACTACGAATCAACTATACTGAATTCACAGAACTCCACCCATGCTTTCATAAAGTATACAAAGAACCCAAGTAAAGACGAGTGAACAGCCACCTTGAAGGAAGCTCCTGCCTATAAGGAGAATGATATTTATGTTGAACTGTTTTTTTTCCAATTACACTAAAAGTCCATTTCTTCTTGTTCTCACCTCAATGGAGAACTGTTGGTCACTGGCCTTGATAAAACAAATCTTCACAGAGAAGTCTCCCCTCTCCTGCCCAAGGTGGGCCCCAACGGGGTGTTTCTAGAACCCAATAAGCATGTACAACACCAACTCGGAATACCATGAGGGCTTGTGGTTTAAAGCTATATCCTTGGCTTTTATCAAGGCTCAAAAGAATGTATTGGCATCAATTACCAAGCCTCAGCTCAGGGCGCTATCTGTGATGCTGTTCGAGGACCCCTAGGCCCAGGTCTGGTTGATTGCACTGCCTGCACTTTCTACAGTAGAACTTTCTTTTTAGGGACTCCATGCTTGATTCCTCCCAGGTGTTCTTCTCTACCTTCTCTATCTATGGTATTCAGCTGGGGCAAAAAAAAAAAAAAAGGTCCAGGAAGCTGGCCATCTGGTGACTGTAGGCAAGTCCCATCTGCTATAGTATATCTGATTTATAAAATGAGGGCTGAAGGCTGATGATCTTTGAAGTGCTGTATACTTCTGACTATCACTGATTCCAAGCGGGCCTTGACGACAGGCTTGCAAGTTGGTTTGTGGCCACTGGGTACTTGCTTGGCCTTGTCCAGGGCACAGCTGGGCTCTCATGACCTGAGGACCCAGAGAGGTCAGCAGGACTAAGCAGGTGTAAGAGTGAGGCAACTGCTCTCTAGTCACAAATACAAGCAGGAATTAGGTAATGCTCCACTCCCATCCTCTGAGTTCTTTGACTACACTTTTTTCATTGAATTTTTGGGATGATACTGGTTCACAAAATCATATAGGTTTCAAGTGTAAAACTCAACAAAATATCATCTGTCTTCTGAGTACTTTTAAAAGTAAACTAGCTTTGATTGGTGTGGCTCAGTTGATTGGGTGCCATCCTGCAAAGCAAAAGGTGGCAGGTTTAATCCCCAGTCACAGCACAAGCCTGAGTTGTAGGCCAGTTCCCTGGTTGAAGGCATGCAAGAAGCAACCAATACTGTTTCTCTCGCACCTCCATGTTTGTCTCCCTCTTTTTCTCTCTCCCTTCCCCTCTCTTTGAAAATAAGTAAACAAAATCTAAAAACAAAGTAAACTAAATTGGGGCTGGAAACTGGTTTCAAATCTCCCTTTTGGGAACAGGATTGATCTTGAACTTGCTACAAGTTTTTCACAAATATGTACTTTTCTCTGCTCATCCATTTATCATCCAACACTCAATCGGTGAGCTCCCACTGGGTGTAGGGATGTGCTCACTGTGATTCAGCCAGAGTCCTTATCTGGTGATCAAAGGCCCTTCGAGTACCAACAGTGAATGCCCTTCCAGCAGTATGCAAAGGTGGTTAAGGGCAAGCAAACCTCGCTTCAGTTCTGGGCTCAGCTACGTTAGAAACCAGCAGCGACAAAGGGAGGTGAGGAACAGAGAAGAAGCCAGAGAAACAAACCAAAATGAAACTGTTAGCACATAATTGGGATACAAAAAAGCACAGTACCTGCCTCACAGGCAGAGGTACAGGTGGGGTGAACTGAGTGCTGGGTGGCTAGTGCCTACTACAGTGTCTGCTACATACGCTGGCCTAGGGCAAGACTTTGGTATAAGGAAGGACAGGTGGCTACTGGGCTCTCAAACAGTGTTGAAGGGGCATGGAAGACAGGCTTTCAAGAATGAGTAGTATTGTAACAGAGAGAGAAGGGAATGGGAAGGGCATCTGAGGCAGAGGAATGAGATTAAAGTCTCAGAGGCAAGAACTATGCAAGATTTGATGGCCAATGTATTGAAGTTTGAAAAGGGCCAGGGAAGGGCAGTTGGGGCATGGAAGGACAGCTGAAAATGAGGGCTGGAATCTGCTTGAAGGGTCTTACACGTAATTTGAGGAAAAAGACAAGGTAAAAAGTGATTTCGTGTCTGTGGGGATTGGTGGTGCAAGGTTCAATCCTAAATGTGACCTTTAACGCATTAAATAGTGCAAGGTTTAAATTATGAGAGAATGCTGGTTTGAGAGGGGGAAATGGACGACAAATATTCTTTTTCATGTGTTGAGTGTAGGGGGCCAGCAGGACATGCAGGTAGATTTCAAGATCAAGAGAGGTTAGGGGAGATAGTGTTATACAGAGTTAGGGAGTCAACGGCCCAGAAGAAGTTATGGAAGTCAATCAACTTTGCCCTGGAAGAAAGTGCTTATAAAGAAGGCTGGAAACCTAAGGAAACAGTGACAACAGGAGGTGAGGACAAGAAGAGAATCCCGAGAAACCAAACAAAAGAGAGCTGTCGCACATGATGAGAATACCAAGGAGTGCAATCTCAGAAAAGCCAAGGACATGAGTTTCAAGCAGCAGGAGCTGATCGAATTATCCAATGCTATGGAGCTGTAATAGTAGAAAGCCAAGAAGAGGCCATTTAGGAGTAGCTATGTCACAGGTTAAACTCTTTATTTCTTAAATTGATTTATACCCTTCCCCTCACCCAAAGCCCTAATTTCCCATCTATTCCCACTCTTTCATCCTACAAGCCCAACATAAAGCCAGAAGGTACTACTGAGTTACTCCAGCAAAGTACCCAATGGCTCTTGGCCTTGGGACAGCACTGGTGTTACTTCGAACGAAGTAATTCCCAATCCCCGGGGCAATTCAGGTGCAGCACCAAATACAGGTTGGTTTTTGCTCAGTCACACAGTGATCTGCCCTCCTACACCAAAGACCCTTTTGGATGTGAAGAAGAAGATGGAGAGGGAGAAGAGTCATAATATAACTCATAAAGAAGGAATGAGATCTTATTCCTTTGTGTTGAGATTTCTCCAGACAACCCTCATTTCAAATCTTCTATCCCATTGATCCTACAAATACATACATCTGTTATCAGACCCAAGTGCCCTAACTTTTAACCTGGGGATTTGACCTCTACAGCTGGTTTCTGATTGACGAGGCATGAGTGTAGCTAACCTGCAGTGGCCCATGGCCCTTTCAGTGGGAAGGAAAGAAGATGGAGAAGAAGGGGGAAAGAAAGTAAAAGAGGGAGAAAGAAAGTGAAGGGGAAAGAGAAACATATTTGCTGAAAACAAGCCGGGCACTGGGTAACAGGTTTCTTCTGTGATCTCTATCTCTGCAACTCTCCAGTGTAAGCACCAACACCCCCCATTTCTACTGAGAATAACCCACT